AACTATGTGTCTGAGAGACTAAAATGATCCTTTGTTTCTTTCTGCTGTCTTCTCTTTCACCACAGACACTTTCTTTGGGACCATGTACACGTCAGATGACCGTGGCATCCTTTTCTCCAAATCACTTGAGCGCCATCTCTTTGATGGGCAGCGGAAGAGCGACTTCACCAACATAACTTCACTGAGAGGAGTGTACCTCACGAACAAACTAGACGAAGGTATGGTTTGCAACCCGTGTGTGTACCAGTGCACTTTGTGCACATTCAAGTAATGATTTTAATTTATTACACAATGACCTACATGTAATTTGATTTGATGCCTTAGTAAGGCAAGCTGATCTATTTGTCCTGCCTGTCAATTTCCTGTCTGCACACCATTGAACTAACCCTAAAGAATAAGTCTGGTGATATTCTATATTTTTGAACGGATCCTATGAAAAGATCAAAACCAAAACCGAATCTATCCACAAGTATTATCTGTGTATTCAAAGTCTGATGTAATTTCCTATGTGCCACAGAGCTCCACTGTCGTCCAAAATGTTTCTTTATTGTGATGAATATTGTGATTTCAAGTCAATCCCACTGCTGCCACAATACTCACTAGAGCGCCAAGTGTGTAATAATCCACCACTGAAATAATCCCCAACACATGCTAAATGCACAAAATCTACAGTGCCCAGCTGTTTTAGCTAATTAGTGAGCCTTTAAAAAATAACAAAATTAAACTATATATTTGTGACATGTTTTTAAAGATTCATGTCTTCAGTACCACTGACAGACAGCTTTTTGACAAAGTAATATCAGGCTTATCCTTTAAACTTAAGTAAGAAAGGTAAGATGTCTATCATGATATATAGTTTCATCAATGGATATATCCATTTATCTTCCCTTATATCAAACTGCTTGTCTTTATACCCACACAAATCCCACAACTAACCTGTCAGTCTGCCAGCCATTTGTTCACCTTTTCATTTTGATAAATTACTGAAATTTGACTCTAATAATGTGTTTTGTTGCAGATGGCTGTATACGATCTGTCATTTCCTTTAACAGAGGAGGGACGTGGAGGCAACTTAACAAACCTGAGAATCTGGAATGTGGAGAACACGTCAAGAATGTGTGTTATATGTCTAAAATCCCAGTCTGCGTGTGCATATTAACATTATATCCTACAAGTTAGGCCGTGTTCACTAAAACACTATAAGTGTGCTTTTTCCCATCAGTGCAACCTTCACATTCATGGAGAACACAGTCGCAACAACCGCATCGTTCCCATGCTGGCTCTGTCTGAGCCAACTGCTATTGGTCTGGTTATCGCCCATGGTAATTAAACAGCAATGCACCCATATTTAATTTCAGTACAAGACATTTTGATACATAGGACAAATAATGTCAAAGTTTAGCTAAAATGGTACAAGTATGCAACTTTAAACATCTCTGAGTCATTTTCTAATTCAATATATTTTTTAATAAATGTATTTAACTTGTAAATCAAATGTAATGATAATTTAAAGATGTATTTATACCTTCTCCAGGTACTGTAGGTGACTGTCTGTCATCATCACAGCACCCAGATGTGTTTGTCTCCTCAGACGGGGGTTATAGCTGGAGGGGGACACTGAGGGGTACTCACCACTACAGCATATTGGACTCTGGGGGTCTCATTGTGGCTGTGGAGGCCCAGCATGAAGGACAAGTGAAGACTATCAAGTACTGAGCAGATATTTTTATTTAATGAAAAAAAATATTTTTTGGCAATGGCGGGCCGAAAGTTCTTATATCAAAGTTTCTTTTCACCCAAATTTCTCCACAAACTACCATTTCTCGTCACCAGGTTCTCCACAGACGAGGGCCAGTGCTGGAAATCCTACAACTTTACCGAGCAGCCCTTCTTCTTTGCAGGCCTGGCATCCGAGCCGGGGACCAAGGCCATGAGTGTCAGTGTGTGGGGCTTCCGGCCTGAGGAAGACGGTCAGCCCATGTGGGTGGCCGTCACCATTGATTTCCAGAGCCTCATTACAAGAGAATGTGAGTCAAGATGCAACTACGCCATCTACTGCTATTATCTATTCTGCCCCTTATGGGGCATGTTACCTAGTGGTAACATGATGTCTCCAGTGAGGTGGAGTCTTACACCAGTTTTTCCATTACAGAAACTTACCAACCCATGACCTGGGACATTCCGTAACCTAAACTTATATGAGATTTTTGTTTGCATTTTATTCTCTGGGCTCTTTTCACTACTTTGAAGGGAGCACAAATAAATAATTTGAATCAGAATCTGATGACAGTTGATAACAGTTAATCTCTTAACTAATAGTAACTGAAGATGGGTTTTTTTTATCTTTGATTGCCTTTAAGTCATGAATATTTAATGTCATAGAGAAATACTTCAGATTTTAAGTCAATATCTCAGGGGCTTTAATTGTTTCTTCTGCTCAGTTTTGCTGTGTGGTCATAGCAATGGTTGTTGGTGCAGACTTTGAAGTAAAACAACGGTTATTGTTCTGTGTTTATACTACTAATCTTTCTTGTGATGTGACAACAGCACTATTAGCAATACCTGGAAGTCACTGGAACTTGGATTTGGTATTACCTCTTGAGCAGGGCTGAATTTTTAGCTCCAGGAAGTGTGCAATTACAGTGGCTACGCTTTGTTGTTCTCATCTTGGTTTACCAATTGGAAGCCCACTAGAGGTTGTTTCCCCGTGATATAAAACAGTTGTGTTCTGACGGGTCGTCATCTAATTCATCAGGTAATGACCAGGACTATGAAGAGTGGTTGGCTCACTCTACAAATGGAGGAGACCTGGAGAGAAATGGCTGCATCTTGGGTGTCAAAGAGACTTATAGGAGGCTAAAGAAACAATCCATGTGCAGAAATGGGAGAGGCTATGTGGTGAGCAAGAAGCAAAGCCCCTGCCTGTGCACCAGAGAAGATTACTTATGGTACGTTGATATGTTTGTGACATGACATAAGGACTATGTAGATATTGTGCCATATTCAAATTTGGAATCCCAACGGTATGGGAACATGTTTTGGCACCAACAACTAAGACAGCATGGAAGATATTCCCTTGTGAAACCCTAACCCTAACCCCTCTCCTTTTCAACAGCGACTATGGTTACTATCGTCACGTAAACACCTCAGAGTGTGTGAGACAATCCAGCACTGAAAATATAAGCTTGGAGCGCTGTCTGAATGGAGAGGAGGATGAGCTTCTGACAGCGGGGTAATCATGGCCACTCCTTTTTGTTTTTTGTTTTTAAATGAAGAGACACACCTCATGGACAGACTCACATGCTTCTGACCATGTTTGTAGGTACCGTAAGGTCCCGAGTGATCGTTGTGAGAGGGGCTTCACTCCTCAGCTCGCAGTGCAGACAGTCATCAGACCCTGTGGTGTTACACCCAACCCTAGTCCACCTGCCAGGCCCTCGTCTACAGTCACACACTTTGACACACCGGTCAGTAAACTTGTTGCTCTAATCAGTGTGTGTCTATGTTTTTAACTGTTCATGTTGAGGTTTTTAGGAATATAACACCTGTTGCATGTATTTTACAGCAAGAGAGGCTGGTGTTGATCCTGGTGTGTGCAGGAGCTGGAGTCATTGTCCTGGTAGCTATCGTTTCCGCCGTCTATGTTGTCAGGAGGATGGTTTACAGAAACAGGTGATCTATCTATCTATCTATCTATCTATCTATCTATCTATCTATCTATCTATCTATCTATCTATCTATCTATCTATCTATCTATCTATCTATCTCTATCTCTCTTTCTCTCTCTCTCTCTTAGCTGACTTGTAGTTTCATGTCTTCCTCTACAGGACACCAGAGTACCGTTTCTCCAATCTCCGGCTTCAGGATGATGATAACAACATCACAGCAGATCTTGAAAGCACCACCAGTAGCAATGGCATTGCCTCTCAGCCGGACTCAGATGATGTAAGGGCTATTTAGCGCTGTTGGGTTGTTGTTGGGTTTTTTTTGTGTGTTATGAACTTACAAAATATTTCAGATGGTGTGATTTTCCCATGTACATTGACACCTTTTTTGTCCTTTTTTTAAAAACAGGATCTTATTGATTGACACAACACATTTGAATGGATGTAATAAATTTTCACTTTTGAAAGTAGCTGGGCTGAAAAAGACTGCCAACGGCATTTTGTTGGACCCTTCATGGCAAGTTCTGACTATTTGAATGACAAGCATGATGTTGCCTTGAGCTTTACTTTGCTTACTGTTTGATTTGTACAGTATTTTTGTATTTTAATTTGACTCTGTGTTGCAACATCTTTGTATTTTCTGATCAATGTGAAAACAAACAAGACAATCCTGAAAATGTGCATTTGTAAAAAAAAAAAAAAAAAACATAACAAAATACAGCATATTGTTATGTGTTCTTTCTGTTGTGTATGTTACAGTTTTAAATAGCTATGCCATGATCAGAACAATACGCAATAAACCTTTCAAAGATCCTTGCTTGAGTTCATCAGTTCAATTCTGTCCATCTGGACACTGGTGGCGCTGTAACGCTTCTATGTGGAAGTGACCAGTGAAGAAGAAAAAACAAAGATGAGTTATTAACAAGATGTCTCAAACATGAAAAAATGTACCGCTGCTCCTCAAAATCAGAAATACACAGAGATGGCTCATAACCTCCATGCTAGGCTATATTTGGCCCAGTGACTACAAGTATTTAATGCCATCCTCATACAAATATTTGGGCAAAAACGTGAGTAAAACTATTCCTAAAGGTTGCCCATAACATAACTCATATATTATATTGTTGAATTAGCCATGAGACCCGAATCACATGTTGCTGTGTTGGGGAACTGCAATGATCTAACTTCTTATGCTGATTTACAGTGGGTAATAATATTTTTTATGGACCTCTTAAATGTTAATGTTGTCAAACGGATAAAAATACCCAACTCGACAAACACGCCTGTCGACTCTACAGGTCTGCCAGCTTGTTCGTCTTTGGTTTCTACGACAGAGTGGATTCTCTCTTCTTCCGCCGACCAGCTCAGCTGTCATTACAGGATCACTTTCATATCTGGGATAGCTTGAGCAATACCAGAATTCGTAGCTACCGTGGCTTTTGGGGCAGGTAACGTTTAACAAGGTGTAAGCGTTCATCCAAAATATATTTTTTGTTACGTTACTTTCAAATTAGTACTACCACATAAGACCCGCTGGAGATATTTCAGTGTCAGTTAGCATACCTGTGCAAAAACGAGGAAGTTACACAGCAGACGAATCAACGTAGGGTCTGTTTTAACCGTTTTAACGTTAAATACTACGGTTAATGTTAGCTTTTCAAAATTTAGCTTCCAAGCTATGTAATGTACAGTATCATACAGTCAACTAAAGGTGGTTAAGTGCATCATTACGATTTACTACCTCGGAAATTAGTAACTAGTTCAGTAAAGCTAAAGTGACGTTGACTTAAATAAATTAATGGAACGTTACCCATCTAACTTTCTGTGGTATTAGCTAGCCTCGTTTCAACTATAGGCTATTAGCTCATCTCGTTTTAGCTACTACTAAGACGTTACAGCAGAAGTTAATGTTAGCCTGTGGAACACGGGGATAGACATGAATATTTATCTGACAAACTAGTTATTTTGTATGTTTATAATCACAGATCGTTAGCTGTTGAAAAAGTGGCTGGAGGCTCGCTAAGATGATCAGGGCTGGCGGTAAGTGTAACGTTAACTTATACCGTTTAAGCTATTAAGTTTATTCACATTAGTATAATGTTACGTTAGGAGCATGGAAAACCTTTATGCGATGTTTAAAATATCGTAAATGGTGATGATTTGTAACTGACGGTCCTGTTTATCTACTGGTCTACTGTATCTCTTACTTTTACAGGTGTTTTGAAGTTAGCAGCGCTCATCTTTGCGTTCCTCTTGGCCGTCTTTCTGGCTTTTCAACTGCTAGAGATCAACATGGATTTTAAACTGAGCAGTGTGTTGTGTGAGTATCATTTTTTTCAAGATGAAACTTAAGCATTTAAATATTTAAATGACCACCAAAAATCTCTTCAAACACACATTCTTGTTATTGTTTTTTCAGCAAGAGCTATGCCAGTTAATGAAGGATGTAAGTATGCTTAAATTATTATCATTGCATCTTTTTGCTTTGTTTTCTCAATGACTAATCCGTTTTCATACAAGTTCCTCCTTCTTTATTTTTTATTTCTCTATACCAGTCGACACAAGAGTGGTAATAACAATTGTTGTGTGTGTTTAGCTTAGAGTGTAAATAGATTCCTCTGATAGAGTTCAAGTTGCACTGTTGGTTTTTGGATAGTTGATAGTCCACATGTTTGTGCATAGCCCTGTGTGATTGGACCACTTGTTACCTAATATTGTGCATCCTGTTTCTTGATGTGTGAATTCGCAGCAGTAAAGCCAGTCAAGTACAAGTGTGGGCTGTCCAAGTCATGTCCACCTGGACACTTCGCCTTCAAGATAGCGAGTGGGGCAGCCAGTGTGGTGGGGCCCAGAATGTGTCTGGAGGACAAATTGTAAGTAAAATGGTCTGACAAAACAAGATGGTTTTTAAATGTTATATAAATTAAATGATGAAATGGCAAAACAACACCACCAACAACAACACAGAAAAAGTAAATGTTATAATTTGATAAAGAACGGATAAAGACAATATCTTTTTTTGTGCTTTGTGACATGTTTGCTAAAACAGCTTAGCTTTAAAAAGTCCTGGCAATCGTTTGTTTGATAAAGGTTGAAAAATGATGCATATGCAAGTACAGGACCTGTTGTCTTGTCAGTACCGTTGGTATCACTTTACACTTTGTGTTGTTTCAGACTAATGAGCGGTGTTAAGAACAATGTGGGGAGAGGAATCAACATTGCCCTGGTTAATGGTAACGTTATCAGCTGGAGTTTCACACCTTGAAGTCAGTTTGATTTATAAATAGACCACTGTTGATAGTAATATAATACTGCAGCAGTGTAGAATTAGTTCGATGAATGGAGCCATTTGAAAAGAATATCTTAAGCCTTGGTGCAGCAGAATAGTTAGGCTCTACTTATATATTCCCATTTTGTATTATTACCTGTTAATCAGTTCAGTTCATATCATGAACAGCCGGTTAACTATGCTGTCTGTTCCATAACCAAATTTGTCATCCTAGTGGTAAACCTATAGTGAATAGCAATTAACCATTACCAAGAATGTGTAGTTGTGTGTAATGAAGTTGTGTTGCAGTTTTTAATTCATAATAAAAAGGGTAAGTCTCCTGTTTTACGTAGTGAACATTAGATTTTAAGTGGTCTAAACTGGGATGTGTATCCTCCACAGGTAAAACAGGGGACGTTATCAAGACAAACTTTTTTGATATGTGGGCAGGAGGTGAGTATTTTTCAGAATCTTTTTGTTTTGGTGAATTAAAAACACATATACATTGTGTTAACCATGTCTAACCTTGTGTAGATGTGGCTCCTTTCATTAAATTCCTGAAGGAAATTGAGGAAGGGACAGTTGTGATGATGGCTTCATTCGATGATTCCTCAACAAAGTAAGGGTTTACTGATTTACTGAATATAGATTCACATGATTCATGTAAACTGCTTTAATTATCTCTGGTATTGGCTTTGTTTCTGCAGATGTGGCAATGAAATAATCTATCTTCTTTGTTCTGTAGACTCAGTGATGAAGCCAGGAAGCTAATTGCTGATCTGGGCAGCTCAGCTATTAATAGTTTGGGCTTCCGGGATAACTGGATCTTTGTAGGAGGGAAAGGCATCAAGACCAAGAGTCCATTTGAGCAGGTAACATGACCCACAAATCTCATGTTTACATCTATTCCCATAAACAAAGTATTAGACCGTTTCTGCTGAATGATAAGGCAACGTAAGCAAAAGCAACAACTGTATCCTTGTCTTTATGTAACTCTAAATATTAAAATTCAAGGGTGCAATTAATTCAGAAATCAGCCTTACATCAGGTGAAACTATTAAAGTTTATACTGCCAGCAATTCCATAGTACATTAGCCCAAAATATCAGTGCTCACCCCAACAACTGAAATAAAGAGCTTGTTTTTCAGCTGTTTTTCCTTTAACAAAGGAACTGTGTGTTTGCGAGGTTTATGCTATTGAGAACGCATGCATATCTAAGTAGATATTCATTCTGATTCAGTGAGTGAAAGGGAGTAAAAAGGCGTGTTGGGTTTGCATTTCATCGGGCATTCAGACAGAACAGCCCTGTGTTAAAACATTGAAGCAACCAGTGAGATGATGAAATACAATCAGTGAAGTCAGACAGACAGGATTTTCCAACTCTTTTGTATTATCTTTTGTTACGACGATCATGAGATTACCAGTAAAAGTCAAGCGTTCACATTACAAAGTGATCTACCAGCACAGCTTTCAGCAAAAGTTTAGCTTGGTTCAACTTTTTTCAACTGCTGTTATTATACAATATATATGCATCTTATTACTGTCAGGGCTCAACGTTAAACTTTTTTGCACCTGGCCCCGCCGGGCCAGTGGGTTTGAAACTTACTGGCCCAAAGATAATTTTTACTGTCCCTCCTTACAAAAGTGTTTAATCATTTATACACAATACATCCTGGATATAAAAAAAACTAAACAAAACTGTAATCACAGTTAAAAAATAATGAAAAGGTTAACATAACAATTTACTTTTAAAACAAAACATACTAACAGACTCAAACATGACGTGCTCTCCTGCAGACAGCCGTTTATGGAAAATGTACACAGAGCATCGGAAACGAGTCGCCTCTATCTTCAACAGTTGGCATGGTAGCGACCTGTCAATCACAAGGTAGTCCCGTCCAAAAGCATACGCTGCATTATCGTCTATTTTCCCCTAAATAGGACTATAATATGCTAAATGAATATCATGCATGACTTGAAACTAGCAACTAAGACTATAAACTTATTGAAAGTGTTTACTGAGGTAATAAATCAGCTGAGAAGTAGCAACATTATACCATTATTTCTAATGGAACTCGCTCCCTGCTGGCCGTTAGAGAGAATGCATCAAGTTCCGTCATACATTTTCACTTTCAACCCAGAGGTTGCCACATAATTGAGATTAGAGAAATAACATTTGACAACCTCTCGTCACGTAACTAAAGTCTGGATTGGACATCGGCCAAGAGCTGCAAAACAACTGCAGGATGTTGACTTTCATTTTTTTTTTTTTTTAAATAGGCCTACTAATGTTTTTGCACTGGCCCGATCAGGCCAGTGAGTTGCTAGTTCAACTGTCCCGACGTTACATTTTACTGGCCCCGGGCCATCGGGCCACCGTTGTTGTCGAGCACAGTACTATTATTCATTTTCATTGAATTATTACCACTACTGTTACTATTATTTTACATCTCTGTTAGGCTACGATGTGTACTCGTTCCTCCTGCTCTCTCTCTCTCTCTGTCCCTGTCTCTCTCACTCTTCCCCCATATCCCCCCTCTCTCGCAACCCAACCAGTCGAGGCAGATGGCCGTCCACTCTCAGGCTGCTCAAAGTTTTTACCTGCTAAAAGGGAGAGGGTTTTTTTGTATCCCCACTGCAGCGACAGACTGACTATTCAAATGAATGAGAAGGCGCCGTTTACACACATGACTCAAGTTTTTCTGAATGTGGCCTTACTCCCTGTAACTTGGTAGTTCCATGTTAAAATAAGTCCAATCAGGTCCACACTCTTTAACTTCAACCACTACTGTCATCAGGAACACATTGATTCTGTCCTTGTTTCTAAAAAAAAATATTACCTTAAATATGTCTTTCTGTGATAAGATAAAATTTTCAAGTGCAGGAAGTAGAGCATGACATCATCAGTCACTACAATAAACTTAAATGATGACATGATGGCAGATCACTAAAACTACAAATGTGTGACCTAATAGGTTACTCATCTGTTTGTCTTCCATTCAGGTTTTAAAAACATTCTCCTGGCAATACTGTTGTAATTCCTGTATATGACCTAGTGTCTTTAATCTTTATTATGCAGAACACAATCTTTTGTTGGTTACTGAGCATTGTATGTGTTGGGGCAGTGTCATGTAGTCTTTCTCTAATAACTGATTTGTTAATTCACAAGAATACCACACCCTGCTTCTTGGGCTTGTCAAACCAGAATACTGCATCCACTGGATTATAAAGACAATGCAGACTATCTAGTTTCAAGGTGTGCGTCTTGTGTTTTCTTCCTCAGCATGTAAAGAACAGTGCAGACACCAACAAATTTGAGGGCTGGCCCGAGGTGTTGGAGATGGAAGGCTGCGTGCCTCAGAGGCAGGACTGATCCGAGCTCCTGCTGTAATCGTCGACCACCCCTTTCTAGTCCTGCATGTCCACCTGGCCATCCTGAAATTCCTGAGAGTTTTTCATAATTTTATGCTTCTTTTGGCTGAGAGATCATTTTACAACTCTCATCCCCAAACCTTTTATTAAATTTTACCTACCACAACAAAGCACCATCTTGCCAGAAGATATTAGTAGGAATGAGGAACTGGCATGAACTTTCAGTCAGCCAGAAACTGAAGCTCGGACCTTCTCGCACTCTTCTGTCTGATTGGATATTGTAACATAGATTCTTATTTGGGGTTGTAAATGAAATTGGTAGGTAGAGTGCACTGGACATACCTTTGATCATTGGCATACTGTCACAGCTGTAAGGCCCACACGCTTAGTTGTGTTGCGTTATTGCACTGTTGTGGATGGAAATGGATTTCATTGCCCAGAAGTGGATAATTGCTATTACCTGTTCCCTGCCTTAATATCATTAACCTATTCATGTTTTTGTTTTTTTTTTACTTTTCATATGACTTTGTGGTTCCTTTGTTTCTTTCAGAGTTGTTTATTTTGAGAAACTTAATTTTAACAGGGCTTGAAAAGGCTTCTTTCCATGATATTATAACCAAATGTACCAAATTCACTGTGAAATTTGTAAATATTACTTTCAAGTAGGGTTCAGATCTGAGAAAATTCTAATTTAATAAACATTGTAATAATATAATTTCCAGAAATAAATGATATTGTTAGTAATATGTGTGTTTTGTTAAATCTAGTGATAAGTATTTCTTTGTACTAATGTGTACTACTTTTTATGGCTCCATAGAGTATAGGAGAACTCATGCTCTGAACAGTTAACAACTGTGGATCAACTGAACGCCGTTGCGTCCACTGAACATTCGGTACCAATATCAACCTTCATGTTAATCATACCATGCTGTTGTTTTCATTTTACAAGCACTTCAAAGAAGCTATAGGCTGTTAGTGTCTTAACCACAAGTAGGCGTAGTGGTTGACACTGTACTGTGTTAACCTATCATCTGGTTATTTTGACATACTTGTGTTAATATTATTTTGAGTTTACAGTTTGTATGGAATTCATTTAAAAGCAGCCCTTTCTGTAAGGTAAAGTTTGTGGCTCCAGTGCAGTCACGTTGAAGGTGTTGCAGTTCCTGTTATTAACATGTTTTGCTAACACCTTTTACAGGTGGTGGACAAAATATCAAGAACTAACAGTAACTGAGCCCAATGCACCACTACAACTTCCAAAAATAACATATAGTTGAGTAAGTGTCTCTGTGATGCAGTCTGAAAAACTGAAGATACAAGGCTTTACAAATGTGTTGTTGTCTGTATTTGTATCACAGAAAACCCAGTAATTGGTCTCAAAAAGACAGGAGGACAAGGGCCATTCTGAAAACACAATTTTATTCTGTTGAGAGTGAATGTCGTAGGTCCTCCTGTTGTAGCTCACTGTAGTACCTTCATTGGAGTCTGGCCGTTTGCTTTCCTACACTGAACCCCTCCAACAAGCCTGGAAGTGCAATACACTGAACCCTGCCTTTGTGGATTTGGTTCTGAAAAGAACAAAAATGTGTGATATTCCTCGTGTGCTACATTACGTTTAAGTTCTGGATATTCTGCACAAGGGTTTTTTTCTTTTCTTGAACAAACAGAGACTTTCAAGTTGCAGAATACCACACAATACATGTGTAGCCGATAAATCTGCAGCAACTGTGGAATGCTATCATGTCAATATAGACCAAAGTCTCTGAGGAATGTTTCCAATACCTTGTTGAAAGTATGCCATAAAGAATTAAAAAGGGGTCTAACCCGGTGCTAGCAAGGTGTACCTAATTAAGCGGCCAGTGAGTGTATCTGCTGTTTAAGAACTGCTGTCTTTAAGTTGACAGGCAGAGTGCGCCATTGCCTCATTTAATTCAGGGTGTGTGTCTTGTGGTTTGCAGTATACCCAGTATTTGTTGTGTTTGAAGTTGTGCTTTGGTAATACATTAAATTAAATATTTGTCAATGGCTTATCTTTTTCTCATTAAACTCTGGTTACATAGTTAACAGCATAATCACCTGCTTTTGCTCTGTAGGGGATTTTATTAGCAGTATTCATACCACCTCGGTAAGTGTAAAATCAGCATAAGTGTGACCTATTTTGGATAAGAAGTTGATTCAGTTTAAACATGCGAGAGCTGCCAGACATGAGAGAAATGATCAAAAATACATGAGTGTATCGGAGAGAATGAGACTTAAAGGCTCTATTTGGGCCTCTTTGTCCTTTATACTGCATTTGTGCACGTGCTTAGGTTGCTTGTGTTTGTACATTTGACTTATTTTCACTGGTGTTCTGCTGCAACATGACCTATTTGCATCAACTTCACATACCGTTATGGGAAAAATTTTCCTCTTACTCAGACTATACTGACATGGTGATGCACCAGTCTCTATCTGCACGCTCACACAGTATGGTAATGCAACAACTCAAACCCTAACCCACTAATAACTTTCACTATCATTTGTGCATTTGTAGTCATTGGTAAACACACAAATTCATGTACACGTACGCACTCAATCGAGCTTGTATGTTGCACACAACTCCTCTCAGGGTTTGTCCCTCTGCCAGTGGAGTGACCTTCTGAGTTCCCCTCAGCACAAAGCTCTTCCTTATTCCCAGTAAATGAAAAAACACCGTGGTGCTCTCCCTCTGATCTCTGAGCTCATCCCTCTGACATTTCATATCCCTATGTGTGTTTATGTAAGGGAGAGCGGTTGTTTGGCAGCCATTTCAGTGTGTACATTATTTGTGCTTTCACATTGTAAATCCTTGCATGTGGCCTGTTGGGTGGAACCTTGCATATCAATATGTAATTGTTTGCGTGCAGTTAGAGAGGTGTGCGCTTGTGGTGCCTTCGGACGTGCATGTTCGTTGGTGTTCGTGTAGGCTGACGCTCCTCTGAGCTCCCATGTTTCTGCGCTGAGGGATGAGGTGTGGGAGAGAATCGTCTCCAACTCGTCTTATATAAGACACACATGCTATATGATGCATTATGTATGAACATAGAATATCTCCCATCGCATAAACCTCTAATGATGAGACAACTCGTGGGAGCCTCCTGTATAAACACAGGAGGAATATGAGGATAATATGCTCTCACGAAACAGGAGAGGGGGGGTGTTTTATTTTTTTGTAAAGAACAAGTTGATATTTTTTTCTTTCTCCCCCTGCTTCCCAAAATAAATCTGTCTGCTAAACAAAGGTGCTTGCCTCTAAAAGGACCTCTGAAGAGCTCAACTTTCTAATTCCCTGTTGCCCCCGTGTGACTTCTGACCCCTGACCTTTCACCCCATGACTAAGTCGCTTGCTCTTCTGTTTGCTCCAAAACAAGCTTCAAAACAACTCCACTCCTGTAGATACCACGAAGCTTGTGATGAAAATGCATTTCCTGTCAATTTTATGTTCCTGCTTTCTGTGACTAAAACACACTCATGGCCCTAATTACATAGCACAGCTAACCATATGTTTCATGGTCACTGTAAAGCAAACACTATTACCCTCACTGCTGACCACATTTTACCACAGACCAAAATGCGCACACACCAACATATTACCATACACTAATTTATACCTAACACTTGCCTCCATCTCCTCGCCTGTGTTGTACCTTTCCCCAACCTCTGCCCTATGAGTCAGCTGACCAAAAACTCCCTCAGTGGCCGAAACATCTGTGTCCTGACCTTTTCAAAACATTCTCTTGTCTCTGCACTCTGCAACTCATATACCTTACCCAAATAGGCACTTCACATGTCTCTAGTCTGCACCCAGAAATGTACTTGAACACCCAAAACTTAGGACATCATACATGTCATGACCACTGGTGGCCAGAGGTTATATTATAGCAGTCAATGCTTCTACATAAGTGTTTTTGCAATATAGTTTCTGGCCAGCAGTGGCAGCACTGTGTACGATGCTGCTTCCTCACTCCACTCCACACTGAGTGAGCAGGAAACCTTGCAGCTTCTTGTTGCATAGACTTGATGAAACCCACTGATTTTACACATCAGCATCAGTTAACCTGTTGTGCTGAATAATATTCAGTCTGTGCAAACAATGTGGCTGTGAAGTTTGAGGGAACTTTCAAGTTTGGGCTTGACATTTTATGTTTTTCTTCATTTGGAACAATTTGCATCAGGTTGTGCTGAGTCTGTGCTGTGGCTGTGAAGGAGGCTTTGTCAAGTTTGGGAAAACATTTTATGTTAACTTCCTTTGGAACAATTTGGGTTTCAGTGTCTTGCTCAAGGACACTTGACATTTTAATATTATTTATTAACAACATTTCTTAGAGTTGTGTGAAACAAATATATCAGTGCAACAATGCAGCAACTTCAAAAGTACAGAGTTTAGCGCTGGGGGGAATAAGGGACTATGTAAAAACTTTAAATACAATACAGGCTGTTACAGTTTTAATTGTGTCTTTCTTTGGAAACTGTGAATTTATAAAATCTATTGTTTGAACTCTTTCGAAAAGGCAAAGAAGCAAGTTTTTTTATGTGTAATTTTATATTTATGGATATTATAATATAATAAGATTATAATAATAAGTAATAATACGCATAGTGCTACTGCTGAAACACATACTTACCTCACACTCACTTTGCACAATTGACATTTCCAGAACATGAAAGCAGCAAGTCGCAGCAAGTCTAAATTTCTATTCACATCATAGCAATACAATTCAATCTTGCTTTCATCATATATTCTGTCTTGCTTCAAACGCCTCACGCCTTAAGAAGAAAACGCTTTCTTTCCAATGAGTTTGTATTTTCAACATTCTTTATTTAAATCAAAATCAGCTGTCCACCCAGGCCATATTATGTAGCATGAAAGTCCTGGAACAGGGCTTTCCCGACATAAACACAGTTATTTGTGAGTTCCTGTATTGTCTGTAGGCTGTAACCACTCCCCTAAACTGTCTCTTATCTGATACTGCACCCCAAACACAGCCCAACCCTCTTGTTTACACCTTCAGCTCTGCACATCAACCTTCCAACTTTTTCCACAAATGTTTCTTTGAGGTTTCTCAACCCCCACACTCAAGTCAAGTCAAGTTTATTTATACAGCCCAATATCACAAATCACACATTTGCCTCAAGGGGCTTTACAATCTGTACGCAAACGACTCTCCACACATGATGCCAGCAACCTCAGATTAGCCTCTGTGTCGGACAGTAAAAAGTGGCTGGCAATGCTAATCTAACATTGTGGGAAATGGAGTCCCTCATTACTATTGTGCGTTGTTTAACCCTGTTGGCGAGGGTAGAGCAGACACGCAGGCCAACTGGATTATCAAAGGGGCTGGCGAGGTTTGAAAACGGTTTTGCAATCGGGAGAGGTGACTACAGACCAGAGCACACAACTGGTTGCTTGCACTTGCTAGCCATCCCACGCCTCGGAACAGGAATAAACTCTTTAGCATCTGCAGACAGGGCTGCGCTAGTGCTATCACTATCAAGTCTGCTATCAGGCCTTTGGCTGATGACATCTGGAGTGGCCATGATATCTAAGGTAACGTTAGCAGGGATGAACTCTTCAAACCGACAGACATGTCTCTCTAGAAGAGACACACTATCTGAAATGGTGAAACTGTGAAAACAAAGCATTGTAAGACAGTTAGCAAGATGGCATTAGCTGTAAGGTAACTGGAGGCTAACCTGGTAGACTAGGCTTGGTTTGGAGCATGCAACA